GATCGATTCCAGCACCGGGACCATCTCCGTGGCAGCTGAGGGGCTCGATCGTGAGCGTGCCGACACACACCATATGGTGGTAGAGGCTCGGGATGGTGGCGGCATGACGGGCACAGCTACCGTCACTATAGTGGTGACGGACATCAACGACCATGTGCCAAAGTTTCGAGAGGACCGGTGCGGCGCTCGTGTACCTGAGAGCGCAAAGGAAGACGCTCCGATCCTGGAGCTGAGCGCTGTGGATCCCGATGCCGGCTCGTACGGACATTTGGCCTTCAGCGTGATGGCAGGAGACCCTGATCAGAGATTCTACATGGTTAGCCACAGACTGGAGCAGAGGGGCACTCTGAGGCTGAAGAAAAAGCTGGACTTTGAGCAGCCAGGGGAGCAAAGGTTTAACCTCACCATCAAAGTGGAGGACACTGACTTTTCCAGCCAGATCCACTGTCTGGTTCTGGTGGAGGATGAGAATGATAACGCCCCTGTTTTTACCCCAGGCTCGTATCTGCCGCCTCCTTTGCCGGAGGATGTAACTAAAGGAACCAGCGTCATCCAGGTTGTGGCCACTGACTCCGACTCTGGTCCGAACGGTGACATTTCGTACAGTATTCTCCCCGAGTCGGACCCGTATGGACATTTTGCAGTCAGCGGTGCAGGCGTGGTCACAGTCGCTAGGCCGCTGGATCGAGAGACAGTAGCAGGTTATGAGCTGGTCGTCATGGCGACAGACCGGGGTACCCCGCCGTTGAGTGGCAGCGTCACGGTCCGCTTGCCGTTGCTAGATGTGAATGACAACGGGCCAGAGCTGGAGACAGCCTACATTCCCATGCTGTGGGAGAACAGTCCAGTGCCTCAAGTGGTCTGGCTCAATAGGAGCTCAACTCTTCTGTATGTCACTGACAAAGACTCCCCAGAGCAAGGGCCTCCTTTTTATCTCTCCCTGCCCTCTGTGTACTCTACTGACTTCCACCTGCAGGACCACGGGAATGGCTCTGCCACGCTCACCGCTCTGCGGAGATTCGACAGGGAAAGGCAGAGCGAGTTCCACTTGCCTGTTATTATGATTGACAGCGGCGAGCCACCGATGACAGCCACAAACACTCTCACCATCACTATTGGCGATCATAATGATAACGCCCATCAGGCAGGAGAGAAAGATGTCTACGTACACAGCTACAAGGGTGAGATGCTCGTTCTCTTCTTTTTGCCCCTGATTTGTTTTTTTACAGCGCAAGGAGAGCTCGAGTCAAGAGGGAAAACTGAGGCTACAGCTCTAGGGGAAAGTTTTCACCACCATACGTGCTTAGAGTAGTCTGGAATTCATAATTGCTTTCTTTCCATTATATTCTAGCAGTGTTTTCTTATGGTAATATCATTGTCACATCCTTTCTGAAGCTCCCAGCAGAGTCTTCCCCTGCCAACCCTATGCCTGAAGCTCATCTGAACATCACAATATGATAAGAATCATGATTCTTATTTCTTTATAGTGTTTCTACCCTCCAGGTAAGTTGGTTAGGCACATTGGCTTGTTAGTGTTTTGATCACACACTCAGCTACATGACATTTTTGGTAATTGTGGAAAACAGGAGCAGCGTGACTCATCCAGGCTGCCATTGTTTACCCAGCTGCAGTACTCTGGCACTGCAGGTCGATAATAACATAATCCATACTGAGATAGCCTCGCTTCCTTAAGCTCCACGCTCTCTGAAGTGGAGCACTGAGAGCCTATTCATTCCAGTAGTGGGACTCCACAGTTATGAGCATAATAAGTAGAACAGAACACAAGGATGCAAGATAAGGAGAAGAGAGGGACGAAAAAGATAAGTGTTGGCATCAGCAGATTCTGTCCAGACTGAGTCAGTGTGTGTGTGTGTGTTTACCTTGAACAGGAAGGATAGCGAATGCAGCACTGGGGAAGGTATATGCCCCAGATCCAGATGACTGGGACAACAAAACCTACACTCTGGAGACGAGTGCAGCTAAGTAAGAGCTCACTGTTAAATGCATCTGAAAACATGCTGATCTCCCATTGTGTAGCAGTGGTACAAGTGCTAACGTAATAATGTATCAGAAGAACTGCCAAACTGTAAAATAAAGAGGATGCGGGCTAAAAGAAATACTGTAGGCGCATTGCTAACAAGGGCCCGTCTTATTTTTTCCTAATCCTCCTAATCTTATTTCCTTGGCCTCTAATGCAAGCTGATCGATATTCTGGAATATACAATCAGATTAAAAAACACCCCCATTAAAAAAACCTAAGCAATCCTTGATCTGTGTTATGTTCCTGTTTCGTAGGAACCTTGCAGAACCGTGCAGTTATTCAGTGTTCACACCCTTAAGATCAGATTAGAAATACCAATTGCATATTTGTTTTATTCATATGACAAATTTTGACAGTTTCCATGACAACTATCAAGCCCTTTTAAGAGTTTTTCGAGCAGCAACATTTTCCTTTCTCGTCTGTCTTTTTTTCCTGGCAGTTTTTGTTTACCAGTTTCTCTGAGCTTTTTGTTTTTTAACATTAATTTGCATTCACTTCCTGTTGGAGTGAGCCCAGGTACCACTGACCAATTTTCCTAATGTCTGTCTGCCATCTGTTTCGTATATATCTTTCAGACAGGAGCTAAGAAACAAAAGAAACCCTGCTTTTAAATTTCTCTTTCTCTTATTTTATACTGAAGCAACAGTTTCCTACTTCACAGCTTTCCTTTGTTTCTTCAGGTACTTCAGTGTGGACCAGAGCTCAGGAGAGCTAAGCCTGCGACAGAACATTCCAGGTGGCAGCTACTGGCTGAGGGTTGAGGTGTCTGATGGTGTGTGGCCTGATGTAGTCTCAGGAGTCAGAGTTCATGTCAGGGAGCTGGAGGAAAAGGCCATCGTATCGTCTGCCTCACTGCGTTTGACCGGTAGCATTTGCACAAACACTGATTTAAATGTTGGCATGAACGCTGTGGGTTAATTTTGAATCCCTGGGTGCCTTCGGCACAGCAGGTAGACATGTGTTACACTTTGTTTTCCCTGTTTCATCAGTACAGCATGTGATCAAAATGTTCCACCTTTAAAAAAATCAAAGCACGTAGCTGATTCAAATTGAGTTGCTCTGACCTCATAGGTGTAGCCTGTTTGGGCAGCACCACACCGCTTCTAGCACGGCTGCTCTTTTAATATCACTCTGTTGTGAGCATTTGCTTTCGTGCATTAATGATGTGTACTGGATCTCCTACAGTTTATTATAACTGCGTCCTTCCAATTTTATTTTCAAATTTCATTTTGGGGAAGTGGTCCAAGTCGCAGGGAGGCAAATGTAGCAAATCTGAGAATCAAACATGTTGCTATGACAAAAAGAGGAAAA